AGATCGCGCCACTGCATGGCTCCAGCCTTGGCGACAGAGTAAGACTCCGTCTCAAAAAAAAAAAAAAAAAAAATTAGCTGGGCATGGTAGCGCATGCCTGTAATCTCAGCTACTCAGGAGGCTGAGGCAGGAGAATTGCTTGAACCTGGGAGGTGGAGGTTGCAGTGAGCGAAGATCGTGCCACTGCACTCCAGCCTGGGCAATAAAAGCGAAACTCCATCTCAAAAAAAACAAAGATAAGAGATAAGTAGGGCTTGGTGATATATCAGATATGTGGATAGAATGAGTGGTGGTAGTCATCGATGTAGCCTATGGAAATATTTGATGAATAAATGGCTGGACAACCAAGGCTCCATAAGGGTTCTCTCCCCCTAAACAAGGAGGTATTGGTCAGATGACTGTGTGCCAGGAGCCTGCTAAGAAACCTTAGGGATCTGTCAGTGATATTCATTTTTTCTTCTTTCTTTTTTTTTTGAGACTGAGTCTCGCTCTGTCGCCCAGGCTGGAGTGCAGTAGCACGATCTTGGCTCGGTGTAACTTCTGTCTCCGTGGTTCAAGTAATTCTCCTGTCTCAGCCTCCTGAGTAGCTGGGACTACAGGTGCCCACCACCACACCTGGCTAATTTTTTTTGTATTTTTAGTAGAGACGGGGTTTCATCATATTGGTCAGGCTGGTCTCAAACTCTAACCTCAGGCGATCCGCCCGCCTTGGCCTCCCACAGTGCTGGAACTAGAGGCGTGAGCCACTGGACCTAGCCCTGGCCATTTTTTCTTATAGGAAAACCCTGCTGGTGTTTTTAGGAATGCCCTGCTAATGGCTTGCAGCGCACAGCCCTGTTCTCTGGCCACAGGGCACGTACTCCGCAGCTCTAGTCTTACCCAGATCCATGGCGTGCACGTCTGAGAAGCTCCTGTTTGGATTTGCTCCGCCAACGATGAAGACCTTCCCTCTCTTGGCATTACCAACTGGGGGTAAATATGAACAGCTGTGGCCAACTCGAGCACAGGGGCTGTCACCAGGGAGAGTCAAGGTGTACCTGCCAAAGGAAGGATGTATTCAGGAGGCCTGAGCACAGAATAAACGCAGTAGTGTGTTCTTTCCATTCCTCATGAAATATTCACCAGAATGAAGGGTCTTTTTTTTTTTTTCTTTTTGAGACGGAGTCTCGCTCTGTCGCCCAGGCTGGAGTGCAGTGGCCGGATCTCAGCTCACTGCAAGCTCTGCCTCCCGGGTTTACGCCATTCTCCTGCCTCAGCCTTCCGAGCAGCTGGGACTACAGGCGCCCGCCACCTCGCCCGGCTAGTTTCTTGTATTTTTTAGTGGAGACGGGGTTTCACCATGTTAGCCAGGATGGTCTCGATCTCCTGACCTTGTGATCCGCCCATCTCGGCCTCCCAAAGTGCTGGGATTACAGGCTTGAGCCGCCGCGCCCGGCCCCAGAATGAAGGGTCTTATGCAGACACTTCAAATTGTACCCAACAAAGCAGCACTTCTCCAATTAATAATAGTACCTCCCCTTTGCACATAGTCTTTGACTTTTCCATTTTGTCACTGTCTTCATCTCACAGTAATCTGGTAGGAATGCACTGGGCTATATTTTTCCCCATTTGGTAGATAGGGAAACTGATCTCCAGAAATGTTCAGTGATGTGTCTTGGTACAGGATGGTGGCTGTGAACATGGTGTGTGAATTCAGACAGATCTGGTTCAAATTCCAGCTCAGGTACTTCCTCGATGTGTGACCTTTTGGAAGTCACTTAACCTTTCTGAACTTTAGTTTACTCATTTGTGAAATGAGGACAGCAATAGTTCTTACGGCAAAAGATCATTATGAAGACGAAGACAAGACGTCAAAACAGGGCAGTGAAGGACTCAATAAATGGTGGCGAGAGCTTTATGTGCCACCACATGGGAACCAACAGCCCCGGGGCTCTTGCCACAAGCCAATGATTCCTCCCCATCAAAAAAATGATCCAGAATTGACTGATTTCAGAGCTTTTCCAGATTACTCATAAAGCTCAATCTGATGGAAGCCAAAGCTAGCACTCTGAAAAATCACATACAAGATTTGGTCATTCCATTCTCTCTCTCTCTCTTTTTTCTTTTTTTTGAGATGGAGTCTCACTCTGTTGCCCAGGCTAGAGTGCAGTAGTGCAATCTTGGCTCACCATAACCTCCGCTTCCTGGCTTCAAGCGATTCTCCTGTCTCAGCCTCCTGAGCAGCTGGGACTACAGGTACACACCACCATGCCCGGCTAATTTTTGTATTTTCAGTAGAGACGGGGTTTCACTCTGTTGGCCAGGCTGGTCTCGAACTCCTGATCTTGTGATCCACCTGCCTCAGCCTCCCAGAGTGCTGAGATGACAGGCGTGAGCCACTGTGCCCAGCCAGAGTCTCTCTCTATTTTATTAAATAGAGACAGGGGTCTCGCTATGTTGTCCAGGTTGGTCTTGAACTCCCAGCCTCACGCAATCCTTCTGCCCTGGTCTCCCTAAGTCCTAAGATTATAGGGATGTGCCCACTGCACTCGGCCCATTCCACTCTCCACAGTGACTCTGAATGCTGACTGAGAAAACACACTTCAAGCTTCCTGATTGGAAAACAAATTTCTGTAGCTGTTTTTCAGGCCCTGTCTTATTTGACCTCTCTGGTGTTTGGGACTCCCTTCTTCTTGTGCCTTTCTCCCAGCCTGGCTTTCCCACATCTCTTCCTTTGGTTCTGCACTCACCTTTCTGGCTGTCCTTTCTGCTTCTTTCTCCTACTCCTTCCCTACCAGCCACCTCCTGACTCTCAGTCAACCTTGAGTTCTGTTTTCCTCAGTTTACATTTGCTTACCTGATTAATGTTATCTGTAGTGATAACTTCAATTACCACTCATCTATATATTCGTCAGTGGTGGCCAAATCTGTTTCCCATTCAGATCTCTATTCTGATGTCACTTAATCTACACAAAACCCCTTTGAGGGCCGGGCGCAGTGGCTCACACCTGTAATCCCAGCACATTGGGAGGCCGAAGCAGGCAGATCCTGAGGTCAAGAGATCGAGACCATCCTGGCCAACATGATGAAACCCCGTCTCTACTAAAAATACAAAAATTACCTGGGTGTGGTGGTGCGCGCCTGCAGTCCTAGCTACTTGGGAGGCTGAGGCAGGATCGCTTGAACCAGGGAGGCGGAAGTTGCAGTGAGCCGAGATCGTGCCACTGCACTCCAACCTGGCGATAGAGCGAGACTCTGTCTCAAAAACAAAAACACAAACACTCTTTGAAGATAACAGCTGTTACCATCATCTAAGTTTTACAACGGAGGAACTGAGGCTTAGGAAGGTTGAGTAATTTATCCCAAAAGCACACAGCCATCCAGAGATGGTGGATATTACAAAAAAAAGTCCCTGCCTTGATAGTCCTTACAGACTAGGTGGGAAAAGAAACATTAAACAGTTTCACAACTATCTGTTTCACTTCAATTGTGGTAGAAAGGAGTACAGAATATATAGCATGAGGACATGCATGTCTTAGGAGGGTCTCACCCTGTAAGGAGCCAGGGAGATAGGGTGATCAGAGAAGGCTTCCTGAAGAAGCACCATTTGGATAGAGATCTGAAGTATGAGTAGAAATTAGCTGGGCAGGCCAGGTGTGGTGGCTCACACCTGTAATCCCAGCACTTTGGGAGGCTGGAGTGGGAAGATCACCTGAGCCCAGGAGTTTGAGACCAGCCTGGGCAACATAGAGAGACTGTCTCTATTAAAAAAAAAAAAAAAAAAAAAAAATTAGCTGGGCATGGTAGTACATACCCATAGTCCCAGTTACTTGGGAGATGGAGATGGGAGGGTTACTTGAGGCCAGGAGATCGAGGCTATGATGAGCCACAATTGTACCACTGCATTCCAGCCTGGGTGGCTAGCCACAGAGGAAGATCTTGTCTCAAAAATAAAATAAAATAAGCTGGGCAAAGAGAGGGACGAAAGGTGGAGGGAAAGAGCAGTCCAGGCGGAGAGACCAGCATGAGTAGCTCCTGAGTGGAACAGTGCAGGGCAGAGTAAAGAAGAGAAAGAGAACAAAGGAACAAGTCATGGGATTTGAGGTTGAAAAAACAGGCAGAAACATTTTGTAGGGACCATTGGGCCAGTGTAAGAAATCTAATTTTTTGTTTGTTTGTTTGTTTTTGAGATGGAGTCTCCCTCCCTCTGTTGCCCAGGCTGGAGTGCAGTGGCACCATCTCAGCTCACTGTAGTCTCCACCTCCCAGGTTCAAGCGATTCTCCTGCCTCAGCCTCCCGAGTGGCCAGGATTACAGGCATGCACCACCACGTCCGGCTAATTTTTCTATTTTTAGTAGAGATGGGGTTTTGCCATGTTGGCCAGACTGGTCTCAAACTCCTGGCTTCAAGTGATCCACCTACCTCACCCTCCCAAAGTGCTAGGATTATAGGCATGAGCCATTGTGCCTGGCCAGGAGTCTGATTTTTTTTTTTTTTTTTTGAGACGTATTCTTGCTCTGTGGCCCATGCTGGAGTACAATGGCATGATCTCAGCTCACTGCAACCTCCACCTCCCGGATTCAAGCAATTCTCCTGTCTCAGCCTCCCTAGTAGCTGGGACTACAGTCACATACCACAATGCTGGCTAATTTTTGTATTTGTAGTTGAGATGGGGTTTCGCCATATTGGTCAGACTGGTCTCGAACTCCTGACCTCAGGAGAGCCACCCGCCTTGGCCTCCCAACGTGCTGGGATTACAGGCATGAGCCACTGTGCCCAGCCCAGGAGTCTGATTTTTATCTCAACACCAATAGGGAGGTACAAAAGGGTTTTAAACTAGGAAATGCCATGATTGGCAATATTCTGGGTACATAGCAAGACAGATGCATGGAAGCCAGACTGGAGTCTCTCCTTCAAGGTCCTGTTGAAGAACTGCCACCTCTCTACAGCCTTCTGTGGGCCCTACCTTAGAGCAGATCACATTTCATCACCATCACCTGCTTAGTCTGTAGTCCCCAGTACACAGAGACTATTTACAATTCTACCTCCCACACAGCACCCACACCCACACAGCAGCTGCCCCCATCAGGCCAATGTTAATTGTTGAATAAAGGGTTGGTTGAACAAACAGCCAAGAAACAGTGAAGCCAGTTTAATCCAAATCTAATTTCCTAAAAATCTTAGAAATGAGTCAGAGCTCGGGGGAAGACACAGCATTGGAGCTGACGATGCCAGATGGTCAGTGCCTTACTCTTTCTGGTAAATGGATTTTAATAAAATCAACATCTGCTCTGTGATAATTACTGCCCCCCTATCTTTCCTCTGAAGACCTGCTCAGACAGTTTGAGTCTAATTACCAGCAACTGCAGACGGTTTCGTCTCTACCCTTTTTTGTTGATGATCAAATATGTTAGTAAACTACTTATAAATGAAACAAAAACTCATGCTTTTCTGTGTCTGGATCCTTCGTTACAGACCATGTTGCTTTCCTGGGCTTGTCTCCAGGTTCCAAGACTGGCAACTGCTTCATGGTGTCCTATGCATAAGAAAGAAAGGCACTTTTTAGACACTTATGATGATCATCTTAATCAATTCAACCTCCTTTTTAAACCTTTCCTGTTGAATGTACTAATTTCTAGGGCCTGACTAATTTGAATAAGCACCACCAACTTTTCATCTTTATTTTTTTATTTATTTGAGACGGACTTTTGCTCTTGTTGCCCAGGCTGGAGTGCAATGGCATGATCTTGGCTCGTGGCAATCTCTGCCTCCCAAGTTCAAGCGATTCTCCTCCCTCAGCCTCCCGAGTAGCTGGGATTACAGGCATGTGCCACCATGCCCAGCTAATTTTTGTATTTTTAGTAGAGATGGAGTTTCACCATGTTGGTCAGGCTAGTCTCGAACTCCTGACCTCAGGTGACGCACTGTGCCTGGCTGATGTATTTATTTTTATTCTTTTCTTTTGTTTTTGAGACGGAGTCTCGGTCTGTCGCCCAGGCTGGAGTGCAGTGGCGCAATCTCGGCTCACTGCAAGCTCCGCCTCCCGGGTTCACGCCATTCTCCTGCCTCAGCCTT